CAGAACTGAGAAATTTTTTCATGTATATTATTAGCAGAGTAACAGTTTCCCTTTACAACCATAAAGCAAATTTATACACTGCACACCAGTAAAATATTGAAGGAACTGAATGGATATAGGTAATTTAACAACTATGATATCGATTGATAATCACAATGAAACTTCTTAAACTCCACAAGATGAAGTAACAAAACTCACTTGTAAACATCATTGACAATGGGAAGAAGATCATAAGTCATCGCCTGGAGAAGTAGGAAAAATAATTGACTTGACATTGCCACTTTGCAAGGCTCTTAGGTAGAAAACTGAGCTTGAATTAGAAAAATAACAAAACCAGGATACAGAACAGAATGGATTGACTTTTGAGCTGCAACCCATACTAGTATTCCTTAAACTGACCTAGAATATTCAATATCATTTTAGGTCTATACAGTTATCAGATTTTTTTTGGGAAGAGAGCCCATAGAACTGTTAAAGTATGCGTCCAAAGTTAACATTTAATAATTTTATAGAAAGGTGTGTAGTAGACACAAATCTTATGTGCAATAAACATGCATAGCTTTTATACAAAACTTAGAACACAAAAGCCAGCCATGGCCTCACTAAGAGAGTCAGCAGGCTGAACATGAAACATAGGTAAGTCAGCTTTTTCATAACTGACATGGTTAATACAAAACTTAGAACAAAAAAGCCAGCCATGGATATTCCCTGAAGAATGCACTTTGTACCTTTGAATTATTACAAACCTGAAATGTGAGTTCATGCAAGAGGGGCGAGACAGGGTCAAATCCTCTGAAAAAAAATATTACATGATAGTGTAGCATCAAGATGGAAATTCCGACAAATTTTCAATATACCAGGTAAGATCTTTTGAATTGGCCACCATAGAAAAATGCAGGTCAGTTTTATGACACAACCTGTAAAAACATGTAAAAGTAGCCAACAAACCAAGCTGAGAAATACATTATTTAACTTTCCCTCAGGAAAACATCATTCAGAGATGGATGAAAAGTGAAATCAATATTAATAAAATAACTAAATACCTGTCTAGCAATATCAGTTGAGATCGATGCTTATGTGGACCCTGCAATGTGCAAAATAAATTGCATGTGAGCAATAAACCCTGAAGGAAATTCCAATTAAGGTGCCATGTGATACCCTTCTGGCCATTGTTAAATCATTATTTTCCTGTGAGGAATTGAGTAGGCCAGCACTAGGTATATGGTGGGTACCAAAAAAAAATTTTGTGGCTAAATCTGCCTCAAAACTCTCCATGTTGATGCCATAAGAAAATAAGTGGAATGGACAGTGTGGTAAACTGTCTAATAATAAATAACATGTCCTTGACCAGTTTCTTACTGATTGCTATAATCTTTATTTCTGGTGACCATTATTTTTGTGAAGTAAGGTCACTAAATTGAACCTAAAACCCTGCACAAACCTACACATAATTACATAAATTTGACCAATTTTAGGCAAATCTAGGAGTTCAAACTGGAAGAGTTTTACATACCTCTCCCATACCAGCTGGATCATCAGCTTTGTAGGCATGTAGTTTAGTCTGTACAGCGTTGGCCAGCTCAGCAAGATGGAGACCATCCCTATTCAAAAACATTATGTGTTACACAGCTGCCTCATGTAAGGAAAGATGAGTACCTGATGTAAACAGGGGCTTTCACTGTGTCTTGCCAGCTCCCAGAAAGAATAACACATATGGCTGTCAAATTCCCCAATCCAGGCATGAGCCACCATTATGGGAACCCACTAACACTGATAGCGACAATAAGAGGAGAGACTAAAGTGGCCAAAAATGACCATTACAAAACAGCTCAGGACTACAGAAAATTAATTGCCAAATGGCTGTCTGAGAATTTAAAGATCTAGCTGTGAACCCGCTCTTGCATGATTGACAGCTGACTAGAAAAACCTGCCAAGAGTTAACAATCAGCTTTGTTAATTGCATTGAAATGAATAAAAGGAAGACCCTAAATACTGGGGAGGCCAAAATCACAGGATTACTCGGCCAAATAAGTATAAACAGGTAACTTGGACCAAAAGTTTCACAGAGGTTAGTCATGTAAATAAAGTTACTGTACTTACTTTCTGTATCTTACAGATGGATATTCACCCAGTGTAGCACAAAGAGTTGCAATCTGTTCTGCTATTTTCTGCGAAAAGAGAATAATGTCAAAAAAACTTCAGGTGATTTTTCTTTCTTTTTGTTCTATATGCTCATTATCGGTACACCATAACATACCCTATAAAAATAAGTTGGAACCAAAGTATTGATGAAATGTTCATTGTCTGTTTTTAACCCTTGTAACCAAAGTTTACATAATCAGAACTTATTGAAAGCAAAGATAGGTCGATAGCTCGAAATTCTGAATACATAATTTAGATGATGGAAGTGTCACATTGGTAAAGGGTTAGAAACAGCACCAAACAACCTTGTACCTCAGAACATGATTCCAGTGCACTCACAGTTGATAAAGTTTTAAGCTGAATGCTCCTGGAATCACTCTGAAGTAAACAAAACAACAGCTAACGCAAATGCCAGATACAACACTCAAATAGACTTTCTTACAACATAATAAATTTATATTTTCTGGCGGCCTTTATCATTAGGGAAGTTCATTCCTGTTGCTAGGTCTTCCAAAAGCTATTTAATTATATGTTTGTATGTACTTATATTTATTTGCTGTAAATTGATTAAAGTCAAAGTTTTTTTTTTTTTACATCTAGGTATAGTTATTTAAAAGTTTGATGAGACCTCACTTTAATAAAGTATCATCTCCCCGAGAGCTTACTTTAAAATGAAAAGCATAAACCAGGTCTTTTAACTAGAATGAGCTCCACACAAAATAAGATAAAACAATTTTTGAACCTATAAAACAATTCCCCTTCTATTACTTTCAAACTTTTAACAACAGATAGTCGCCAAAATATAGTGAATAAAGGCTGATAGTTTCTAAAGAAACTGTTTGGGGTTGTGTCGGTGGGGGTAAAGAAATAATATGACTATATGAACAAAGTTGAAATGGTAAATTGGCCACCGTTACAATTATAAAAGCTGACGTTTTGAGCGTTAGCCCTTCGTCGGTTAGCGTTAGCCCATTTCAACTTTGTTGATATATTCTCAAAATATAGTATTTAAACATAAATATTTGTAAGTTCTGTTAAACTGATTTTCAAACAATGTTTGTCAAATGTCCTGGTGTAATAAACAGGTAGGTAAAGTCTGTTTACGAGCCTAGTGGCCCATCAGGCCGGTGCTTAACTCCGGTTTCTGTTGCATGAAGCGACTAAGAGTATTTGTACTCCCCCCTGGATGGGATGCTAGTCCATGGCAGGGTTACTCCCCAGCATTGCCGGTACCCATTTATACACCTGGGTGAAGAGAGGTACTGTGAGAGTAAAGTGTCTTGCCTAAGAACACAACACAATGTCCCCGACCGGGGCTCGAACCCAGACCACTTGATCCGGAATCGAGCACACCACCCATGAGGCCACCACGCCTCCACGGGTGTAACAAAAAGCATTGCTCTTTTTTCCTCTTTCCTTATCATTACAAACAGTGAAAAGCAATATCCTTGCATGAGCTGATTAACTACAGTTTTGAATTAAGAACTCACAACATTAATTTTGTTTTGAAAAACATACCTATGAAATATTACAAAAATCAGTGAATCACAAAATGGGTTCAAATATTGTATTGCAACCATTCCAACTTTAACCAGCTTTTTGCCTTTTAATTCCACTGTTATCAATTGAAAGTTATTTTCAGCTCTCTCTGACTCTTCCAAGCAAAACTTCCCTAATTCATTCCATGCTAATGAATCGGATAGAATTAAAGGGAAAACCTGGCAGAGTAAGATGTCTCAAGATGTTTCTTACTTTAATTAATACAGATGAAAACCCTACACATAGCCTCACTTGATTTTGATTCCACTTTAAGAATATGTGACATGTGGGAGGAATTTAACAAATTCGGGAGTGTTGCTGCAAAACAACAATTTTGCACCCATTCAACATTCCAGTCATTTTTGTAATATTATAATCCAAATTAAAACAGTCAGGTACCTCAGAATATTGGAATCGCTGGGACTGGTCTGATGGTTCAGGCCCATAAAAACTGTGAAATGCTTTTGGAGTGTCCAGAGAGTAAACCTAACAAACAAAAAAATTGTTCATAAAACTGTAACATTAATAAATAAAATAACTTAAACAATGAATTTCAAAGGTTAGGATCTTGATTGCTTTATAAACATTATTTTGCCCCCTGAGGGAAGACTTGTTGTAGTTGCATGGACCTGATGCTGTTCATGTTAGGTTGTGTTTTTAAAAGTTGCTGTCCTTTAAGGTTTCTATGTTCAATAATACAAACACTGTACAAAATTGTTCTTCTTTGCTCACTTGTGTTTAGTTTGTTGAAACAAAAGGTTCATGTCAAACCACAAATTATGCTGTTTTTCCATTTACCTATCTTTGATTGAAGATTCTAATGGTGAGGTTGGAACATTCTTCAATATCATCCGTAGAATTCAGTTTATTCTTTGATGGTTGCAGACAACAAGTAAACTTGCTGAATTAACAGCTTGAAATGTGAATAGAATGACTGTTCAATAGATATCTTTTGGAGGCTACAAAGCACAGTCAAAGATGGTGAAATTAAGCAAAAATTTATTACTAGAGCAAAATACCTGAGACTCAAATGGTAGAAATGCAATGTTTATTTCTTTCAGGGTCTTTACATCTAAGGAAGAGGTCAAAATAAATTAAATTTAATCGTCTGTGATAAAAACACCTCCAGCTGATTTGAATCATTGTTCCATTCATGTGAAAAATAGAGAAATGAGAGAAATAAAAAAATTAAAAAATTAAAAAATTAAAAAATCCAGAGAAGAAATTTTAATTTAGTAATGGCACTTTTAAAAGGTGGCCCTTCTACATTGTTTTCTGGGTCAAAATGGGAATTTGGAGAGTTTTTTTTTTTTTGTGGAGTCAGGAAAACTAAACAGCCAGGAACAATCCTTGAAGCAAGGAGGAAAACCCACGACAAAATTAAGCCACATATGGTGCCGTCCATGCTCCCCAGAACCTAGCAGCAGCTTGGATTACTGACATGACTCACACAAAGACAGTAAGCAAAAGCTTGCACAAAGAATACTAGATGCTGTATACAGTGATCAATACTATAACAATATGGGAAAAGACTTTAAATGTGGACAGAATTACAAACAGGAACAGGTCCAGTACATGTGCATATTTCACCATCCTGGTTTCCTTATACTTGGTTCAGATATACTGTACACTATAAAAAAAATGAAAAGCTGTACTTACATTTAGATATCTTTGTAATTTCACTGATTAAGGAGTCTGGACAAACTGGTGTAGGAAAAAAAGTATTCATTTAGCACTGATACCCAACATCTACAAATATTAGAACATATTACTTAGTACCTTCTGTAAAGAAGACATGAGCACCCTTATATCTGTGATTTCCTTCGGTGAAGTCTTCAACCAAAGCTTTAACTGACTGTGTGTATTTGAAAACAGATTTGTTGTAATTAGTGATTCCATTCAATCTAGCACAGTGGCTACAATGCCTCTACAGTGGTACTGCACTTTAATGATTGGTTACTCTCTGATTGGGAGTCATGGTAAAATACAAACAATAGCCACCAATTGATGTGTAAATTTGCTGGGATATTTGTCCATGGATACCTGTTCTTGAGATGCAAACAGTTTTCTAAGAGTAAAGCTTGAGGAAAACTGTGAGCTTCAAGAAATGGATAATGTCCACGGACAAATATAAAAGCATATTTCGCACCAAGTGGAGGTTATTGTGTCTGCTATATACATTTCTAAGGGGAAAGCTTGATGAAAACTGTGAGCTTCAAGAAACAGGTAATGTCAGTCCATGGACAAATATAAAAACATATTTCGCTCCAAGTGGAGGTTATTGTGTTTGCTATACTTAAAATATTTTTGCAACATGTGGGAAAAAATATTTACAAAGAGCTTAATGTTTACTGTGTGGGAAGTTTACCTTGCAGTGTTTTCTTGTATGACTGAATAAACAAACAATTGTCCCTTCTCCTGTAACCATAGCTAAATGCTCTCTCATGTTGAATTAAATTTTTAAATGAATGCCTTTATCGAGGCAGATGTTACATTTGAAAATTGAGGAATATGACTATGATTATATCCTTGGATATTCCCCACTTTTAGCTGCAGCATATTCATTCACATGATGTGTGTAGACCAATCATGCATGAGCACAAATATTCATTGGATTAAAGCAGTGGTAATTTGACAATAGGAAATTGTTGCAGTCATAAAATGGACCATATATAACAATCTAAAGTCATGGTATCAGCTTTGGCAAGCAGGGAAGGCCTCAACATGCCAAACTGCTGTTCATGGAACCCCCTTGATAGCTTCTCTTTTAACTTCTTTTCTTTGGTGGTAAAGATGAAGTCTCACTACCGGAGACACCGTTAGGTGTATTCTTTGGCTGTAACATAATATTTCTACAACACCTAAATCATCATCATCATCATTCTATTATTATTATTATTATTAATAATATTGCAGCTGCCGAGGGAGCCATTGACGTTGTTTAATGATTCTTAACAGCCTTGTATATAGGGTTCTAGATTTGCCATTCACCTTTCTCTTTTCTGTAAAGTTTTAGATATGCTTTTACTTATAATAATAATAATAATTGAATCTGTTCAGATTTGACTCCGTTATTTATAGTTTTCCAGACGCTTTGATATTAAAAAAAAGGAGTAGATGTGAGCTGAAAGTGAGTTATTTTGGATGGTTTTTTATGCTGTTAATATTTTGTATTGTAGAGGATTTTATGGAAATTATTGCTAAATAAAGATCATATCATGCTTTGAATTAAAAAAAAGAGTAATATTATTAGTATTCTTATTAGTATTATCAAATCCAATAATAATACTATTCATAGCTGGGCTGTTAATAGGATTAAAAACATTGGGCTAGTAATAAATAGCACAAGGCCAGATTATTGTGGATGTTATGTTATTTCCTTAGATTACAACCCAAGATTGAGAATTATTGACATGGAAGATGTCCCAGGTCTCCTGCAAAGTTTGCAAGAACATTCAAATACATTCTGACAGTGGAATTGAGTGACACATTATTGGTACTGTTATTGGCATACCATGCAAACGATACCACTAAAAAACTGGAAAACTACTTCTGTACAAATTTCTTTAATCATTATGGTATTTCAATAACTGATTTTTCATCTAAACTTAAAGTGCCTGTAACCCCCAAAAATGTTGTTGGCCATATTAAATCTCTCTATTGCACTGAGCAAAATGGCACAAACATTTTTGTGTTTGGATAAAACCACGATTTTTTATGATTTTTCAAAGTCAAGTTTAGTTTCGAACGACCGAGTGAACCAGAGACTGGGGCCAGTGACATCATTCCAGGCCATCGGCAGTGGGGCTCCGATCCAATCTCAGTCAATATTATACGTTCCCAACGAGATGAAACCTTCGTTAAAGCCTGATCTGGTAAATTTTTCTCACCTTTCTCTTACTTCGCTCGCTTTCAGCTGATTTCGTGTCCTCCGACATTCCACTCGTGATCAGTCAGAAAGATGCAAATTCCAACTCCATCTTTTCGCAACCTTCGTTGCATAGTCTTGCTAGTCAGAGCAGAAAACATGACTGAATAGTCTTATTCTTGGAAATGGTTGGAACACATGGCCGAGTATTTTGTAGGTTTCCAATGTGCATGCTTCAATTGCACAAAGTCAACCCACTTCTTCTCTTTTTTTTCTCCGCGTCATCTGCCCCATAAAGAGGTATCGGATGAAGTGCTATTCTTTTTTCTTTGTTGGGAGTGTTGCTACACCCGAAAACAATGCCCTTATCAGGCATATCCGTCAAGATACTTCATCCAGTCCTTGAAGTAAACTCATTGGAAAGCCTAGAATGATGTCACAAACTGTGCTCGACCCAGACCCATCTTGGTAATTCCATGCCTAGATCATGTTTTGAAAAAATGCGATTTTCCATGACTTTGAAAATTCATAAAAAATCGGGGTTTTAACTAAACACACAAATTTTTGCAGCATTTTGCTCAGTGCAATGTGTGGTTCCAGAAAATATCTATACCCCCCCCAATGGAAGATCATTGGAAATTCTGAGGGGGGGCTTCAAGGGCAGTAATTTCCGAGGGGTAGGGGGGTTTTGTGGGACACTACTTTTCCAAAGGGTGACGAACCACGTACAAAACATTGAAAACAACATACGATCGATCTGATGTGCAAAAACATACTCACGTACATTGTTTTGAAACAAAATTCAGTTTTCCTGGCTATTGAGATAAAGTTAACATTATAAGCTTTAATGTTTGTGTTTTTCTTTGAGTTAGCTAGCGCTACAACCTCCCAAAGCTAGAAACGGGGTCAAATATTATC